GCTCTGGCCCCTAAAAATGACTTTACCACACACAGGTTTCGTGCCTCTGCCTCTCGGCAGCTGCCGCTCGAGTCCCCCCCACCCCACATCTCGCCGCCTGCAAGCCACAGCCGAGACTTCCTGGCCAGAGGCTCTGGGTAGCAATATCCCCCCCAGAGCAATAAGTATGCACCCCCCGGGGTGCATGTCCATTCCAGTGTAACCCTAGGTTTGAGATGTTGGTTGGTTTGTGAAAAATAAAACAGGTGGAAGGGGAAGCTCGTTAGAATTTGTATCTGCTCCAGGGCAGCTGTCAGGGGCCCTCGTCCCGGTGCCCGACGTGCGGTGTGAGGCCCACGAGGCTCCTGCAGAGAGGCCGGGCCTCTGGGTGGCCCTGGAGGGGAGCAGGGCAGCCCTGTGACAGCCGTTCGGCCCTCTGCTCCAGAGGAGCCCCCAGCTACAGGTAAGGTTATCCTGTCTCGCCCTGACTTGTCAAATGTGTAACGAAAACTGACCTAGGTGGAAGGCGTCTTTCAAAATTGATGAACTGAAGTCCAGAGGGGAAATCCCTGTCAGGCCCTGTTCCCAAATCTCTGTATCGATGGGGGGCGGGGGGTGCAGGCCTCGTGAATGAGAGGAATCCAGGTGGGAGCGGCCGGAAAGACAGAGTGGAGAAGGGGGGCCCTCCTGCACTGGCCCAGCCGCTCTGGGAACCAGGGTGGAGGCTCCTCGAGGAGTCAGAAATCGAGCTACCCTAGGACCCAGCAATCGCACTACTGGGGATTTACCCCGAAGAGACAGATGTAGTGAAACGCCGGGCCCCCTGCACCCCGATGTTCACAGCAGCAGTGTCCACGAGAGGCAAACTGTGGAAGGAGCCTCGATGTCCTTCGGCAGAAGAATGGATGAAGAGGACGTGGCCTACAGATACCGTGGAAGATTCCCCAGCCACCAGAAAGGACGATCCCCACCACCGACACTGATGTGGATGGACTGGAGGGTCTGATGCGGAGTGGAGCCAGTCCCCCCTCCCCCCCCCCCCCCCCCGAGGGACGATCATCACACAGTCTCACGCATGCGGGGAATATAAGAAACCGTGAAGGGGATGATAAGGGAAAGGAGGGGAGCTGAGTGGGGAAAATCAGAGAGGGAGACACACCTAACTCCTAACTGGGAAGCGAGCAAGGGGTGCTGGAAGGGGAGGAGGGCGGGGGGGGGGGGCGGGGGACTGGGGGGGTGATGGGAGGAGCACTGGGGGTTATGCTGCATGTTGGCAAATCGACAACAATAAAATAAATAAAAACAAATGTAGGGAAAAAAGAAAGTGGGCAGAAACACACCGAGGACGCCCCCCTGAGGGCGGTGAATCAGATTTCCCTCGGAGGCCCTGCTGGGGGTCAAAGGTCAAGCTGAAGGGAGGGGCACGGACAGCGGTTCAGACGGAAAGACAGAAGGGGGAGCCTGCGCCCCAAGGGAGGATGGGCTCTGCAGGGACAGGGGTGGAAGCTCGCCGGCGCCCTCCCCTCGTCGTCTCCGTCTAGACTGCCCGCGCTGGGGGCGCCCCGGGGTCCCAGCCCGCCTGCCCCTGGGGCCCGAGCACCGGGTGCTGCGGAGGAGCTGAACCTGAACGAGCCACTTCAACCTCTGCGGGCTCTTCTCGGCAGGTGAGTCAAGGAGGCCGAAGCGCTGACCCCCTCACGGGGTGGGGGCCTGCAGCTTGGGGGGGGAAGTGCCCCGAGGCCCCGGACTGTGCCCCCTGCTTCTCAGAGTCCTGGCGAGGCCGCCTGGGGGCATAGAACTGGTATGAGCCCCAGAAAGACACGCATGTGAGGGCTTCGTCCAGAAGGATCCAGGCTGTGCAGCTCTGAACCTCACTCATCCCTCCGACGTCTAAGCTCCCTGGTCCCCAAAGGCAGCTCAGTAAGCGCCCGGGTGTCCCGTGATGTAGGATGCGGGGCGTCTCCTCACACCTGTCCCACAGCACAGGGAGGGGTCGGCCGGGTCAACTTGCCAAAAGGACCCTCGGAGCTGCAGCTTGGTGTCCCTTTCAAAGAGAAGCTACCTCCACACCTGCCCCCCCCCCCCCCGCCCGGGCTGACGGAGCCCCTACACGTGCACTTCCAAGAGCCGGGCAGGGGGTGCGTGCCTGGGCCCGGCGCAGAGGCCGCCCTCCGGCCCCACTCAGGCCCCGCCGGTTTGTTTACATCCCCGGGTGGCTAGGACACCCACTTTCCCCGGCCGCACCAGCGCCTTCCTCCTCCCTTGAATAACTGAATTTCCTTCACACCCCAGCAGGCACTACCCACTGTACCCACTCGTCACTCACAGCCCCCCACAGGCACTTCCTGTCTCCGACCAAGGCAAGGAAACCCCCAAATTTACTGTTATTGTTTATCCAACCAACGGCCTCCCCAACCCAAAGCACAGACAGGCCCTCGAACTGAGGGCGAGACGGATGCGCCTAGGCCGCTGCCCCCACTCCAATCCTAGGGCTCCCTGTGCCCTCCGGGCGGTGGGGCTTGCCCCGGCACAAGGCCACCTGGCACCTTCCGGAGCAGGGACATCCATGAGCTCATGGAGCTCCTCACAGTAGCCACGGGGTGCAGGAATGTCACCCCCACTTCAGAGAAAAGGAAACAACTGCACTCGGTGGAGAGGAATCCAGTCTGTCTCACCTTGGCTGCCCCTCGGCCCACTTCCTTATCTAGAAGACGTTAGCGATTTTTTGTGTTTTTTTATTTCAAGGAACTCTATCAACTTGGAAGCTGGAGCTCCAGGGGAGATTCACCTCCGCTTAGTTGTGAGACCTTGAGAGAGTTGTTTTACCTCTGTGAGGCTGCGTTTCCTGGTAGGGAAATTGGAGACTAGTCCTCCAGCCCTCTTGACACCTTACACCACTTTGGCATGTTCCGGAATCACACCCCGTTGCCTCCTGCCCCAGCCTTTGCCTTTAGGTCCAAGTTCTTTCTCATCCTGTCTGGGAATTTAGCAGGAGGAAGTTCAGTGACAGGGACTCACGGAGGCCCTCGTGCGTGGGTCAGGGGCACGGGGAAGAGCACAAAGGGACGGCAAGATCCCATGCGCCAAGCAGGGCCCCTCCTGGCCCTTCCCCCCAGCCATCCTCCCTGAACACCACATCCAGGCGGGATCATCCCTGGGCACAAGTGTCCTGAGCCGAGCTGACCCAGCAGACACAAGGGTCAACGTGTGGGGCAGGAGGCTGAGAAGGCTGAGCCAGGCCTCTGCGCAGAGCGAGCGCCCCGCAGATGCCCACGTCCTGATCCCCGGACCTAGGCACATGGTTCCTTACACGGCAAAAGGAACTGCAGGGGGATTAAGGTTAAGAGCCTGGTGGTGGGGGAGATTAACCTGGATCATCTGCGGAGGCTCAGTCTAATCCCACAAGTCCTTAACCGTGGAGACCACGCTCCCGGCTGGGTCAGAGATGGGACCACAGAAGCGTCAGAGGGTGCGATGCTGCTGGCTTCAAGGATGGACGAGGAGGGGCGCCTGGGTGGTTCAGTCAGTTAAGCATCTGCCTTCAGCTCAGGTCAGGATCCCGGGGTTCTGGGGTCTGCTCAGCAGGGAGTCTGCTTCTCCCTCTGCCCCTCCCTCCCACTTATACTCTCTCTCAAGTAAGTAAATAAAATCCTAAAAAAGAAAAAAAAAGGATGGAGGTAAAGGGTCATGAGCCAAGGAATGCAGAGCCTTTTGAAGCTGGAAAAGGCAAGGCAATGGAATCTTCCAGAGCCTCCAGAAAGGACCGCAGCTCTGCGGAGACTTTGGTTCTAGCCCAGTGAGACCCCATCAGACCTCTGACCTGTGGAACTCCACTACATTTGCGCTATTTTAGGCCAGAAACGGAAAATGGATGTGGCCTCTCACCCTGGCCCCCCTCCTCCCAGCCCTCGTTCCCTCTTCCTCCATGTTCTCGGCACTTCTGACACCTGTCTCGGTGCAGCCAACACAACTGGACTTCCCGGGGAGCAAAACCGCCCGTGGGCTTATCCGAGCTGTGGTTTCTACGCGGGTGAGTGGTCTCACGCTGGGCCCCGAGCCTGCCAATCCACCCAGGAGCCATAAAGGGGGGTCCGGGGCCACCAGGGGCCGCCCTGCCTGTGCCCACAAGCCCGAGCCGTGGAGCCGTGATCCTGCCAACGACTGAGGGGCACGAGCAGGCCTCTCCTCTGGGTAGAAGGCCAGGTGTGAGGATGGAGACACCCCAGGCCTCTGGATCCTGAGTTCCAGTCCAAACCAGGCTGCTATGTGACCTGCAGCACATTCACGTGCCCTCAGTCAGCTCCCTGACTCATGCAGCAGGGGGAACACCCTGCCTTGCCCTTTTCCCCAGTCAGCCCCGGGGACCATGTGAGAAAATGTGAACTAGGGTGCATCGCTGTTCCATCTGACTGCAGGGAAGAGCAGTGGGGCCAGCAGACCGATTTCCACCTTAGACCCCGCCGCAAACTGGTCCACTGTGTGATCCCAAACGTCCCACCTCTGGGCCTTGCTCTTCCCATCTGTGCAGTGGGGGGAACAGGTCAGGTGACGGTGGCAGGGCTCTTTCAGGTCAGTGTAGACTCTTTCAGCATAAGCCTAACCCCTATCGCCCCCTCCTGGAACTTTCGGGAATGACACCACCCTGCTCCCTTGGTCTCTCCCAGGATTTGAACCCAGAAACACACTCCTCGGCGGGCTGAGGCGGCCAGCACCTGGCTGTGGCTAAACAGGTCAAAGGATCATGTGCTGAGAAGCCAGCGGGCTCCCGATTCGGTATTTGACGAGAGAGCACGGGCTCCCCACCCCATGCTGCCCCCCAACCCTGCTCCAGAGAGGAGCAGCACGCGTGCCCCTACAGCAGACACAGCCCGGCCAGCCTGCAGCCAGGCCAGGTGCTCCTGCACCCGCTCCCGCACCCGCACCCAGGGGGCCCTCCCAGCATACACCAGCACTCTCCTCGGGGGTGCAAAGAGGAGAAGTGGGGGGTGGACAGGCTTCGTCCCACAAAGGAAGAGCAAGAAAACCTTTCAACTATTAAATCCGTTTAGTAAAGACAGTTTCGCTCATACAAAACAACAGTTTACAACAATCTGAGTGCTGGCCACGCCGTCAGGGACCGGGAGGCACTGGGGGCCCTCGGAGCCCTTGCCCACATCCGGAGAAGATCCGGGGTGCTCCTCCAGCAACTCGGCCCCGAGGGAGACGAGAGCTGGAGAATCAGTGCCCACCCCTGGCCCGGAGACCTCCCCCCACGCTGCTCACTAGTACCCGGGGGAGGGCCCTTCCCGCCCCCCCCTCACTGGCCTGGACACACAAGGCTGAGTTGCTTGGGGGTGGAGGTGAAGTGGCTAACGGAGGCGGGGGCAGAGTCGGGACATCTTTGGTGTGAAGACTCCCCCACCCACCCACGGGGCCACCCAAGGGGTGTCGCCTCTGCCCTCGACGGGGAGCCGGCCAGTACCCCCCAGGGCCCAGGAGAGGCGGCAAAATGCAGAAGCTCCGAGTCACTTCTAAACAGCCCAGGCTCCCCCCATACGAGCAGAGAGGAGGCCCGCAGAGAGGAGGCCCGTTGAGAAGTGGCTCAAAATATAGGAAAAATCATCAAAAACGGGTTAATCATGGCAGGAAGGGGGAGAGAGGCTACTGGGTAGGGAAGCGCCTCGGAGGACTAGGACCAGCGCTGCACAGGCGCCCACGGGTGGGGGTGAGGGTGGTCCAGCCTTCCCGACCGCTGGGCCGGAGCCCAGGTGGCTCCTCTCTGCCTCCCAGAACCACCGGGCAGGCTGCGGGGCCGGGCTGAGTCGGGGCAGGCTTCTCAGGCACTTTGGCAGACCTGACGCAGGCACGGCAGGCCCAAGGAGGGGTGAGGTTCTTGAGCCACAGCAGGGGCCCTCCCTCTGCAGCCCTGCCTGCCCCTGGCCCCATGAACATGCACAGTCCCAGACACAGATCCGGGCACACGCGCACACACACACACACAATCACACTCGCCTCTATCCGTCTGGCACATCGGTGAGGTCTGAGGGCTCCCGCGGAGGCGGGTGGCATCCTGGCCCCGGCCCCGCAGGGCCCCGAGCTCCTGGAATGCCTCAGTCGCAGGGGCCCCCGGCCGGGGTGGGGCAGGAGAGGGCAGGTGGACGCAGGGACGCTCCCTCGGACAGTTGCCACAAACACCCCCGAACCAACCCCAAGCCCTTACACATCCAGAGAGGAACGGGTCTGGGCAAGAGGAGGCCGAGTGGGGGAAAGAACAATAAAAGAAGTTTCATAAAAATTCCAAGTCAAATTACTGATAAAATTGCAAAATGAGCACAGGTTCCAGAGCGTCTTGCTCCCTTCTCTCCGCACCGCCCGCAGCCTCCCAGCCTGTCCCTCTCCGAGGTGGTGGGAACCACAGGCGGGATGCGGCCTCGGACGGGCTCTGGGCTCCACGCCGCCCAGGAGGGAGGTGAAGCGGGCAGTCCTGGGTCTCTTCGTTTAAAAAATATATTCAGGTCGAGAGTTATTGCTTGTCCGCCAGTGGAGCGGGACGGGCTCAGCGGCTCAGTGAGCGAGGGCCGCGGCCTCCAGGGCCCGAGCTTTCTTCCGCCTCTTCAGAAGGAGAGGGTTGGACGCATCTTCGATCTTTTTTATCTTGATCTGCTCGTAGTCGACACGCATTGTGGCCAAGGCACTGGTCATCTCCTCCTGGGGAGGGGGCAGAGTGACCCCACGGGGCAACAGGGGAGATAAAAGACACAGGGAAGGGCAGGGTGAGGGCGACAGGGGGTGGGAGCAGAGAAAGGACAGGCTGGTCAGTGGGTCCGAGGCTGACAGCAGACTCAACCCCTGCCGGGGTCACCAGAGCCTGCCCACAACAGTAGGGTGCGCTCCCAGAGCCCCCAGCGACCCCACTGGAAGCAGAAAGAGCATTGGACTAGGAGTCAGGGGACCTGGGCTCTGGTCTACCCCAGCCCATCGCTAGCTGTGTGACCTTGAGCAGGTCACTCTCCCTCTCTGGACCTCGGGCTCCTCATCTGCAAAAGGAGGAGACGGTACCAGATAGCCGTTCGGGTTCCTTATAGGGAACCACCGCAGGCCCAGCCTGGCCAGGGAAGGGGCTCAGAGTCACTGCTCTCGCTGTAACAGAGATCCCTGGGGTGAGCGAATGCAGACTCACACCCCCCCACCCCACTGGCCAGCACTGCCCCTCACCCCCGGGCACCCACCCCGACCCCGGGCCCCTCGCAGCCAGCGGTCCCCTCACCTTGACATCCTCCCACCGCTCCTTGTCCTCCTTCAGGACCCGGCTGGTGTGCAGTGGGGTTTGAGGGACCTTTGTTGATTGCTGCGGGGGAGAAAAGGAGTTCAAGGGAAAGCCTGGCGGGGAGCAGAGTGGTGGCTGAGCCCTCGCCCTCGCCCTCGCCCGAGGGTCGGTTTCCATGGACCTGGGTCCCTCCTGCCCACCAGGCTTACCATGATCCAGGGGTGGTTCATGAATTCCGTGATGGTCATCCTCTGAGTGGGCTCTGTTTTCAGCAGGTTCCGGATGAGCATCTTCACTGCGGGGTGGGGCAGGGGACAGAGACAGCTCAGGGGCCACCCTCTCTCTTCTGCTTCTTCCCAAAGTTTTCAGGGAGAAACCAGACTTAGGGGCACAGGGGGGTGGGGGTGGGGGGTTGCCTGGAGGCAGACTGCCCACAGAGCCGGTCCCAAGGGGCATTATGGTTACACCTTTTGATAGGTTACATGCAGCCCCACACCCGTGGCCCAGGGTGGGTCCCTCATGCAGACAGGACGTGCCCAGCAGGTGTGAGCACAGGGACGGACCCACTGCCACATCACCCCTGGGGGCCGGATCCCGCAGGTACCACATGTGCGCACACGCATGTGCACGTGCACGGGGCGGGGGAGGGGGTCCTTACCTTCCTCTGATACCTCCGACCACTCTGGGTTGGGAAATTCATACTGGCCCATTCGGATGCGAGTCTTCATGCCCGGAGAGATGGCGAGACCATGGTTGGAGTAGAAGGGGGGATACCCACACAGCCTGAATCAAGAAGCAGGAAGAGAGGGGGACAGTGCGGGTGTTATTCGGGGGACTTGCACCAGGAACAGAGTGAGGAACAGGCTTCTTGGAAAGGTCATAGAGAAATGCACTCGTGGATTTTGGGCACAATATATGAAATCAAGAACAAGCCCCAGAAATCCAACACACCCAGCATCTAAACCACACATTTTCCTGCCCGTGAGCTACTTTATACCCGCCGCTTAGCTATCAGAATCCAATAAGCATGGAGACAAGGGGACACGCAGGGGATTCCCAGGGAATCCCCCATCCAGAAGGGGATGTGGACCTCTGCTCCTTCCTCTTGTCCCAGAGAGGTGCAGGCCTCCTTCTACGCCCAGCCCAGCCCAGCCTCCTCCGCACACGCTCCCTGGCACACTCACAGGATGTACATGATGACACCCAAGGACCACATGTCACAGGACTTGTCATACTTCTCGGGACCCAGCACTTCTGGAGCTGCAAACCAAAGGTCAGTGTGGGTGGATCCGGCCCCTGGAACACTGATATACCCCGGCTTCTCTGCGGATCATGCTCCCTCTCCCAACCCTTCAGCCCATCGTGATGATACTGTGGCCGGGGGTGGGAGGGGGAACAGTCATAACCCCAGGCTGGGGCTGCGTGGGGGAGAGCAGAAGAGCCTCCTCCAAGAGGAACCCCGGGGCTAGAATCTTAAGATGAGACGATTCCTGGACTGAAGAGCCTTCCTGACCCATGCTGCCCATGCTGCCCATGCTGCCCACTTAATTTGACAAACATGAGTTTATTCTGGATACACGTGAGTTCACTCGGCTGGAGCTGTGGAACCCAATCTGTTCCCGGGCTCCGCTGGGCATCTGATGGCAATGGCTGCTCTTCTGGGGGAAGCGCACCTGCGTGCACCAAACCCTGCCTATACTCCCAGACAGATCGATCTCCCATAACGTCTCAATTCCAGATTAACTCGCTCAAGCCCTACTCTTCTGGGCAGGCCACAGCAGAACCAGGTCCGGGAAGGTTCAGAGGACACGACCCCCCCAGGACCAGTGGCCCCTGAGAGCTGTAGAGAGCACCTGACAACAGCTCTGGGGAAACACCAGCTCCCCGGGCCCCCTCTGGACTTACCCACATAGTACGGCGTGTAACAGGGAGTGGTCAGAGAGTTGTGGCTGGTGGTTTCCTTGGCAAAGCCGAAATCTGTGAGTTTCAGGATGGCATTGGGCCTTTTGGAGGTGTACAGGAGATTCTCAGGCTACAGAGAGGGAGGCAGACAGACAGACAGCAACGCTGCTGAGCCTGTGAGGAGGGTGGCGATTCCTGCCTCCCCTCACCCTTTCAACAACCATCTGTCCCCCTCGATCGACACGCCATCAGGAGCATCCGTTGCGCGTGGCCAGGTGCCTGCCTTTGGGAGCTTACAGGGTACTTGGAGACAAGAGACGGGCCCAGAGAACCGCCAACAAACACCACGGGGACACAGAGACCAAAGGCGTGACTGTGTGGCGCTGACTAAGGAGGACCACAGGGCTGGGCGTAGCCACCGAAGGCTTCGCTACTGGGCTGGGGCTTGGCCCAGAGAGGGCGGCCCCGGTGGGCAGAGAACAGCACCTGCCCTGCTCTGCCGCAGGAGGAGCAGCAGGGCGCAGGGCAAGCCCGGCCACCTCCCGAGGGTCGCCGTGGCCCCTCGGGCCGTGGCTCCCACGCGGCAGCGGACAGCGGGCACCTTGACATCCCGGTGAGCGATGTTGATCGAGTGCAGGTACTGGATGGCCTCGCCGATGCTCTTCATGATTTCTGACGCTTCTGTGGCAGGGGGGTGGGCGACAGGAAGCAGAGTCGCAAGATGTGGCAAGAGGGTTGAGGACCCAGTCAGTTAGCGCCCTCCCACCCCCCACCCACCCGAGGAGCGGCCCCGGTGTGTCCCCCCCCCGCCCCCCGACGGCCCTGCCCGCCCAGGCCTGTCCCAGCAGACCCTTCCTACCTCTTTCCGTGAACGCTTGGTCTCCCCGGTCCTGGATCCGGCTGAAGAGTTCTCCACCATCCAGACTGAAACAAAGCCACCGTGAGGGGGCGGGCCCGGCCCAGCAGCCCTCTCCGTGCCCGCCTGGCCCTCGGAGCCGTCGGCCTGGCTTACCACTCCATGACAATGAGCAGGCACTTCCTCCCCGCGTACAGGTTCTCGTAGACATCCACGATGCGCACGATGTGGGGGCACTGCGAGGCCCGCCAGTGCAGCTCCACCTCCCGGCGGGCCTTGGGGCAGTCCTGAAGCATCTGCAAGCCCAGAGGCCTCCTGCGTGACTGCGCCGTCCCCGCAGGCGGGCAGCTGGCGGCCACCGGCATGACCCGGCGGGAGTCTGTTCCGGGGCGCCCGGGCTCTCCCCGCCGGCACACCTGCTCCTGCTGGTCCCCTACTAGCCCCCACCACCCCCCCGGCACTTTCTCTGGCCTCTCCTCCTAAATCCTGACTTAGAGTTTTGCAGCTCCCTTACCTGCTCTAAAGGGAACCTTCAAGACGACCCCGCGGGGCCTCGCCGAGGCCGAAATCAGCCCCGGGGCCACTCGGTCTAGCCGGGCCTGCGGGCTGCCCTGGAGGGCGGCAGAACTGGGCCCTGGGGCACAGGGGCTGAAGCAGGCCTGAGGAGGACAGTCTGAGGAGAAGGCACACAATCACGGAAAGGAGCCGAGAGGAAGGAGAGACTCCAGAAGCAGTAGGAAAAGGAACTTCCAAGACCCCTCAAGGTCCAGCACACCAAATCCAGAGCAACGCGCTTTCTCCGTCGTGCGCTTTACTTCATTCAAGCCCGATGTGGCCGGACGCCGCTTCTCGCCAGGTGTGCAACCTCGGCAGGTCCCTTGACTCATGAGCCTCCGTCCTGCACCTTGTCCCACGGGCCAGGTGGCCAGGGGCCCTAATGGAACCTGGATCCCTCACCTGGATCCCTCGCCAGCCTCAGGGGCTGAATCTTGACTAATCCCAGGCAGTCGCATGAATTTCTTTACCAGTGACGAGCTTGGGAACAAGCCTAAGAAGAACTTGGTCACGAGTCTGCGAGCGGCCTCCTAAAGGAAGCACAGGAAGCCGCACCTCCGTTCCCGCACGCGGCACCTGGCGGGAGGACGCATCAGCACACGGAGGAAGGCAAGGCGGGGAGGAAGCGTGACAGTCACCTGGGGCCTGGCTGACACGGAGCAGCCCTCAGGACTTGTGTTTGGTACGATAACAATCTTTCCTTGCTCTACAGACTGCTTTTATTTTTATTATTATTATTATTTTACAAACTGCTTTTAGTAGAATTTCATTGCTCAGAGCCAAAGGCATCATGTCTATCCCCCTATAAAATGGGGGGTAGATCTGTGACAAGGATTAAACGAAGCAATTCTGCAAAGCGCCCAGCAGAGCCCCTGGCAGATGCCCAACAAGCAGAGCTGTCACTTTCGTCACGGACTGTCGGCTAAATGCACAGCACTGATGCCAAAACAACCAAGACGCCGCCCCTGACAGACTTCCCATCTCTGTGGGCCACCAAGATGAGCCCTACGCAGTCCCCATCAGAGGGCCGAGGCCGAGAGGGACACGGTGAGGCGGAGGGAAGGCAGGGGGATGGGGTCCTGCTAGGGGGGATCCGGGATGGGGCAGGTGGGGGATGCAGCAGCTGAGGCTCAGAGACCCGCTGGAAAGTGCAGGAAGCTTGGTCAGAAAGCTGGGATGGCCGGGACGGAGCCAGGTGACCGAGGGCAGCGACAGGCAAATACGGGAACTCCCAGCCGTGAGGACAGACCTCGTCACGCTGCAGGCCACGACATACTAGGCCTCTTCTGACTGTGCAACTGCCATGTTACGGGATGAGGAAATCGAAGCTCAGGGAAACAGTGTGTCCAGGGCTAAGTCCCTAGAGAAAGGCAGGGCCAGGGTTGGACCCCAAAGCCCAGGCCTTTTCCATGTCACCACAAAGCTTCCCCGGGAGGGGTGGAGGCCGAGACCAGTCCGGACAGACACCTGCAGGCTGACCTCGCAGCACAATCTCCAAACAGGTGCCGGCCGGGGCAAGCGGCCCACGGGGTCACACTGCCACCTCGTGGCCATCTGGGGACACTGCACAGGTTCGAGCTCGGCCACCCACCTTACCACGGCCCAGGAGAAAAAGTTTATTTTCCTCTCCCCCGCTCTAAGCAACGCCGGAGAAGGCACCGGCCAACTTCATCACTTCATTTGTGGAGCGCACTTCCACTCCCCGGGCATTTACTGGGTCCCGCATTGTGCAGGGCGCCAAGAGGAAACAGAGGAGTCCCAGTCTGAAAGAATTCAGGCTGGCGGGGGTCAGGGTACTTACTACGGGAGGCCGACACAGGAAATATTTATAACCCAGTGAGCCAATGTGCTATACAACTGGCAGGTTCAAAGGGTTCAGAGGCAAGAGTCCTCAGAGCAGCCGAGTAAGAAGATCTCTCTCGCCCCCTGCAGGTACCCTGATCACTAGGAGGCCAGAGAAGAAGCACAGTTGGAGGATTTACTCAGAGGCAACCCGAGGTCAGGGATTTACCATCCGTCCAGGGGCAGGGTCTCGAATTGGTCAGTATCTCCAATGACCTTGAAGGCGTCATTACCTTTCTAAGCCTGTTTTGCATCTATCCGTGAGGGGGGCCCCCTTCCTTACAGAGTCATTCTAAGCATCTAATGAAAGAACACCCCTTAAGAAGGCTTTGTCATCAGAGGGGCAGTTATCACTGGAAACCAGCAGCACAAGTGCCAAGGCAGAGGCACCCTCTCCATCACCTCGAGTTGAGGCCGGGGCCCACTGAGGAAGCCGGTCCAAGTCACCAGCAAGACTCCAGGCTGGGTTTACAGGCAGTCCAGTGACCACAATCTGGGAACCAGCTCCATGCCCTGCCCAACCAGAGCTGTGCCGAGTGATGACACGTCAAGGGCCACACCCAAGTGCCCCTTGGTCCCTCCTGAACTCAGAGCTCCCGCTCCAAATGCTGCTCTTTCTGCCTTAGACAGGTTAGACTGTGTGGCAAAGGAGAATTTGTGGGCAGGAGGCATGGGTTCCCATCCCACCTCCGGGCCTACATGCAATTCTTCACCTGGTCGGTGAGCCAGATGGACCCAGTACAATACACTTGGCCTTGGGAACGGTGTACAACTCATACCCCAGCTCTGCACTTCCTAGCTTGGGTCAGGTAAGCTGACCTACCCTTCTGACAAAACGATTTCCTCATTTGCAAAACAATTAATTTAGTGAAATAAGTAAACTGGAAAGGGTAGTATTTTTAAATTCTAAAAGGTACATAAGAATTTCCCATGAAGACTGGAGACTGGCATCCAGGTACGTGTTTATGAGAAATCTCTGAATGGATATGAAGACCAACTCTAGCAACAAAGTTAAGACCTTCAACTGAGTCAGGCAGGCAGGCTGGCTGATGTCATGGGGGAAGAGCCTAAAGAGCCAAAGAGGCTTTGTGGACAGCTGTGGGGTGCAGAGAGCCTGGAGGGAGGACAGCAAGAATGTGCTAATCTGGAGTACAGAGCTAAGTAAAGAACCGGGGGGGGGGGGGGGGGGGGGGCCTGAGCTCCAAGCCAGAGGAAAAACAGGATTCCTGGGGTCCTGCCAGGAGCCACCAGCAGGTTCAACCAGAAGCCAATAGAGTCACCCAGGAGAAGTAGGAAAGGCTCACCTCTCTGGCATGGACAAAGACAAGGGCCCAGGTCTATAGATCTCAGGGACCCAGAATGGAGGGAGGGAGGGAGGGAGAGAGGGAGACGGGGAGGGTCTTCTCACTAAGAAGCCACAGGCCCTTAGACATTAAGAGCCTGGAAGGGTTTATGAAATATTTTAAGCCCACGCAAAGCACGGAGCAGATACTGTGACTTGTCTCCACCCCCTGTAGTTCGCGTCTGAAATTCTCTTGCACTGTAGAAAAGGTTAATTGTTGCATGTGCTAGATCGCAATGCAATAGGCCAGGCCACCCTACCAACTGTGGCAAGGGCCTGGGAAACTCTAGGATGACAGCGGCGATGAGGGAGACGCGGGAGCTCTCCCCAAATGCTGTTCCCTGTCTCAGTTTGCTGGAGCCCAAAGGCAAGAGGACTGGGGCCCCCAATTCTGGTTGCCTGTGGCCCCATTACCTCCCGTCCTCCCAACCAAGTCTTCCATCATGGGGCCACAGGGAAGGACTCAGGAGCAGTCAGCATCCTAAACTGAGCTGAGCCAGAGAGATGGGAAGAAACAGAGCCCAGGGCCTGGAGCCCGGCTCGCCAGCAATGGGGACATGAGGACTGACGGGAAGGAGCGAGTCCCAGGCCCCAAGGGATCACACCCTTCACAAGCTCTAACAGCTGCCAGGTGTGTGAACTTGTGGACGTCTTTAACCCCTCCACGCCTCAGTTTCCTATCGGTTAAAGCAGACTAGTAAGAGTCCTCAGCTACATGAAATGAGCTACTAGACGCCCCCTGTAACCTACTGCGAGCAGCACACGCGTGTGTTAGCATCATTCTGCTCTCACTTCCCGGCCACGCTGTCGCAGGGCTCCTCGGTCAAGGGGGTATTAGTAGCCCCGAGGGGCCCCAGAATACCGGCAGGGAGGCAGTCTGGGCATCCTGAGCACCCCTGGCCTCCCTCCACTGCCTCAACCGGACAGCTGGGGGCGGGGTGCACTGTAAGGAGAGAAGGAAGCCACCCCTTCCCTTCCCAGGCCTGACTGGGAGCCAAGAGTGATGCAAAAGCCTGAGTCAGGCGCTGGCTGTGCTGCCCGTGTGTGGTGTGTGTGCGGTGTGTCGTTAAACCAGACGTCCTCGGTCATAGCAGGTCAGCCCCAAGGCCCCGTGTGTCATGCACCAGCCCCCCACCCCCTCCCCACCCCCCACTACAGGATGGGGCGGTGCTGGGTGCTGGGTGCTCTGCGGGCTAAAGAGGAGAAGGATGTGGGCAGGAGGGCTGCTGCTGTGAGTCCCCCACACACACCGTGCAGGACCCCCGGGAGCAGGGGAAGGGGGCCCCTGACCTCCTGCATGCTCTGTGCTAAGTGGGTGCTAACTACTCCGAATGGGGACCCCTCATCCACCCCAGAGGAAGTACCTAACTTTTTTTTTTAAGATTTTATTTATTCATTCATGAGAGACACACACAGAGAGAGGCAGAGACACAGGCAGAGGGAGAAGCAGGCTCCATGAAGGGAGCCCGACGTGGGACTCGATCCCGGGTCTCCAGGATCACGCCCTGGGCTAAAGGCGGCGCTAAACCACTGAGCTACCCGGGCTGCCCTCATCCA